TGATAACGAAAGCCAGGGCTCTCTCTCTCAGGTGATATCGCTTCCGCGGCGACGGGCGGGACCCCGCCCCAACAATTGGTATCAGAGCCTTATTCAGACTGGAGGTGGTAAAAATTTCTGATCTGAGGTGGTGGTTGAATATTGTGTGGTCTAACACAAAGAAATTGTTAAAAATTCCTGAGAGAAGCGGATTGATATAATACAAGCGGTAAATGGTTTCTACAAGTAAAACAAATAAAATTGGAAAATACGAGATTGAAAAATTCAATGGGAAAAATGATTTTTCTTATTGGAGGATGCAGATGAAAAATTCGCTGATTTCGTAAAAATTGCACAAAGCTTTGGCTGGAAGAGAGGTACTTCTACTACTTCTATCTCTGTCTAAGTCTTATGAGAACCTGGTACAAACACTGATGCTTGTGGGTGATACTTTATCGATGGATGAAACTAGAACGGCTCTTCTAGCGGATGATCTTCGAAAAATTGCAACTAGTGATATGGCCACTGGTGGTAACAAAGAACAAGCGCAGGGACTGTTTGCCAGAGGAAGAGGCAATGAGCGAGGAAAAGGCAAGGGAGGAAAGTCTAGATCTAAATCGAGACCTCTTGCGGGACGAGCGTGTTTCAAATGCGGCGAAGTTGGGCATTTCAAGGTCGACTGTCCAAACAAGAGAGTAGGTGGGAAGAAGAACAACAATAAGACTGAAAGACGAGAAGGCAAGGAAGAGGCGAGCTACGCTTCAGAGGATGAGAGCGATAAGGAATGTTATGTCGTCACAGATGGCGAGGATACCTCCGGGAAGTGGATTCTTGATTCTGGTTGCTCTTACCACATGTGTCCAAACAGGAAGTGGTTTACTACCTACAGGAGCATTGATGGTGGAACCGTATTGATGGGGAACAACCATGCTTGTAAAACAGTGGGGCTAGGTAATATCAAAATCAAGATGCATGATAGAGTGGTTCGAACCCTGACGGACGTACGACACGTTCCCGGCTTGCGGAAGAATCTCATCTCAGTCGGTGCTTTGGACTCCGGGGGTTGCAAGATTGTAACAGAGAACGGAGTGAAGAGGGTTGTTCGGGGTTCCTTAACAGTGATGAAGGGTGTTCGTCACGGTAATCTATATACTCTCTCGGGTACGACGGTAACGGGAGATGCAACAGTTGGAACTTAAGGAAGTGGTGGAGACCCATGTGAGCACACACGGTTATGGCATAGGCGGCTTGGGCACATGTCAGAGAAGGGTCTGGATCTGCTTGGTAAAGAGGGTTTGCTGAAGAATCTGAAGAAGCCTTGCATGGATTTTTGCGAGGACTGTGTGTATGGAAAGGCGCACAAGGTTCAATTTCTGAGGAGCAAGCACAAGAGCAGAGGGATATTAGATTATGTGCACACGGATGTTTGGGGTCCGGCTTCGACAACTTCCAAGGGTGGTTGCAGATATTTTGTCTCATTCATAGATGATCATTCAAGATATGCTTGGGTTTATTTCCTGAAGCATAAGAATGAGGTATTTGAGACATTCAAGAAGTGGAAGGCGATGGTTGAGAACAGGACAGGGAAGAAATTAAAGACGCTGAGATCTGACAACGGTACAGAGTACACAGACGGTGCCTTCAAGGAGTTCTGTGATTCAAGAAGTGGAAGGTGATGGTTGAGAACAGGACGGGCAAGAAATTGAAGACACTGAGATCTGATAATGGTACAGAATATACAGACAGTGCTTTCAAGGAGTTCTGTGATCAGGAGGGAATTACCAGACACTGGACAGTAAGATCTACACCACAACAAAATGGGGTCGCGGAGAGACTGAACCGAACACTGCGGGAGAAAGCAGTGAGTATGCGATCTTATGCTGGTTTGGGCAAAGAATGATGGGCAGAATCGATTGCTACAGCTTGCTATATTGTGAATCGATCTCCACATTCGACATTGGACGGTGATACACCCTATCGGGTGTGGTCAGGGGAGCATGCAGATTATGAGAGGCTCTGAATCTTCGGGTGTACCGCCTACTATCACGTCAACGAGGGAAAGCTTGACGCGAGAGCCAAGAAGGCAATTTTCTTGGGGTATGCAAATGGTGTAAAAGGCTATCGCCTTTGGTGTACAGAAGATTCGAAGTTTGTGATCAGCAGGGACGTTACATTTGATGAGAAGTCCATGATTGCTAGGGTGCCCAAAGATGGTGGTGTTGATACTGTTGGGACTCCCGAGTCCCAGGTTATTGAGATAGAACCTAAAGACCAACCAGGTTCTAGTCGTGTTCAAGTGGAAAGTCAGGTAGATGATGAACTTGAGCAGGAGGAGGTCCAGCAGGAGAATACACAGGCACTACAACGATAGCAGCTCGATGATAGCTTGGCTTCCACTAGGCCAAGGAGAGTATACAAGCAGGTACAGAAGCTGGGGGCTGATCAACCCCTGAAGCACTATGGGCATGTTAATTTGGTGGAATACGCACTCTCGGTGGAGGAAGATGAGCCGGTCTCCTTCAAGGAAGCTATTCGGGACAAGGATAGCGAGAGTTGGTTGGCTGCGATGGAGGAGGAGATGGAATCTCTCCGGAAGAACCAAACATGGGAGGTGGTCCCATTGCCCGTAGGAAGAAAAGCTATTGGTTGTAAGTGGGTGTATAAAAGAAAGGAAGATCCTTCAGAGCTCGGTGGAACGAGGTACAAGGCGAGGTTAGTGGCTAAGGGGTTTGCACAAAGAGAGGGTGTGGATTACAATGAGATATTTTCTCCGGTAGTGAAACACACCTCTATTCGGGTGCTATTAAGTATTGTTGCTCATGGTGATCTTGAGCTGGAACAACTCGATATCAAGACGGCCTTCTTGCACGGAGACTTGGATGAAGAGATCTATATGCATCAACCTGAGGGTTACAAGGTTGAGGACAAGGAGAATCATGTATGTCGCTTGAGGAAGTCACTGTATGGATTGAAGCAATCTCCTCGGCAGTGGTACAAGCGATTTGACTCCTTCATGCTGAAGCATGGGTTTTCCCGAAGCGATTATGATTGCTGTGTTTACATTCGGAAGCTTCGTGGAGGTGATTATATTTATCTCCTTTTGTATGTGGATGACATGCTTATTGCTTCAATGAGCAGGGTGGAGATAGATAAGCTGAAATCTCAACTTAGTAAAGAGTTCGAGATGAAGGACATGGGCGCTGCAAGGAAAATACTGGGTATGGAGATTAGAAGAGAGCGGGCGAATCGGCGATTGTTCTTGAGTCAGAAGGGCTACATAGAGCGGGTGATCGCGAGGTTCGGGATGCAAAGTGCTAAGTCGGTGGTGACTCCATTGGCTCAACACTTCAGGCTTTCAGGTAAACAATCTCCCACTACAGCGGAAGATAAGGCACACATGGAGCGTGTTCCTTATGCAAGTGCAGTTGGCAGTTTGATGTACGCCATGGTGTGTAAACGCCCTGATATTTCACAAGCGGTTAGTGTGGTCAGCAGATTCATGGCGAATCCGGGAAAGACGCACTGGGAAGCGGTGAAATGGGTTCTGAGGTACTTGAAAGGTACCGCGGATACGGGTCTGTGTTTTGGTGGAGATACATATCAGATCGACGGGTATGTGGACTCAGATTATGCGGGCGATCTAGATAGACGGCGATCTACTACTGGTTATGTATTCAAAATACATGGGGCTCCAGTTAGTTGGCGATCGATGTTGCAGGCTACAGTGGCACTTTCTACTATAGAGGCCGAGTACATGGCCATGGCGGAGGGAGTGAAGGAAGCACTGTGGCTGTGGGGTCTTCTAGACGATTTGGGAATTGAGCAGGAGAGCATGAATTTGTGGTGCGACAGTCAAAGTGCGATTCATTTGGCGAAGAATCAAGTTCACCATGCTCGTATCAAGCATATCGACGTCAGGTATCATTTTGTGCGGGATGTCATAGAGGATGGTGATATTTCTCTCATGAAGGTGCATACGAATGAGAATCCCGCGGACATGTTAACCAAGGTGGTCACAGGTAGCAAGTTTAAGCATTGCTTGGACTTGCTTCATATTAGCCCGTGTTGAGTTGTCCAAGAGGGCATGGCCCTGCGGGGCGGTGATGGAGGTGAGGTGGAGGCTATGTTGGAGAATAATTGCAGAACTACGATTAGCTTGATCCCGGTGGAGGGTACGTAGGCAGTCACGGTATAGTGACGCAGCTGGTATGGCCTGGTTTTTATCAAATGATGAACGAGGTGGAGAATTGTGATGGGGTGTGGGGCCCTACCCACGTGGGTCTGTCTGCCCACGCCCACGAGAAAGAGCCGCCCTTCTCTTTCTTGCGCGCGCACGCAAGGGCCACGACGCCCGCAGCCTCGAGCCCAGCGCCCGAGTTCGTGTCCTTAAGCGCCGCTTCCCGCCACTGTTCCCGCGCGCGCTTGTTTTCCCGCCGCGAGCTCCCGCCAAACTTCGGTTCCCCCTTTTCTGATCTCCTATAAATAGAGAGGTGGGGTGTGTGGGGAAATTAAGAAAAAAACAAGTGGGTTGTTCTTTTGAGAAAAAAGAAAGAGTGAGTTGAGAGAGAGCTTGTAAAGTTTGGTATTCTCCTCATATTGAAACCCCCTCCCGTGAACGTAGGCTAGTTTGCCGAACCACGTAAAAATCTCGTGTTTGTATTTGTCTTATCTGTGAGTTGCCATAGCTTGTAGGTTCCCTCGATATTTCAGTCCTTGAACCGTGAGAGGAAGAGTGTATATTTCACTTTGATGAAATATATCACTTTTTGATTCTTTTTTCCTTTGAGAAATAAGAATTTCATTATCTATTCTCGTTTCCTTTGAGAAACAAGAATATAGAGGTTGTCTATTCTCGTTTCCTTTGAGAAACAAGAATATAGAGGTTGACTTGTGTTTTTGTGATAACGAAAGCCAGGGCTCTCTCTCAGGTGATATCGCTTCCGCGAGAGGTTGACTTGTGTTTTTGTGATAACGAAAGCCAGGGCTCTCTCTCAGGTGATATCGCTTCCGCGGCGACGGGCGGGACCCCGCCCCAACAGGTACATATAGAGAGTATTTCTTACATATTTTTTCACAGTACATGGAAAGTAGTAACAATATAACTCACTTTATGATACATGGAAAGTAGTAACAATACAACTCACTTTATGATATATATACACACACACACAGATACACATACATGCATACAGTTCGTTTAGCTTAATATAATTGGGAAACTGATCATATAATATAGTTCAATAGACTTAGGTAGCCGGAAAATTAGCAGCAGCAGCACTGGCACCAGCAGCATTAGCAGTAGCAGGTTCAAGCATCAACACGATATTAGGGAGTTCAGGATCGCACTCCTCCTTCTCTTCCTCTTTCATCACCTTCCCTTTATCCTCCGGCATCACATACTCATTCACGTTGCCCATCAACGGAATCATCTTGCACCAAGTTCTTAGTAGCACGTGCAGCACGTTTTTCAAGCTATGCAGCTCCCCGTAGCCCGGGTTTGAGCTGAGACGCTCCGATTTCCTTGGATCCAGCTCTGTCGTCACCCCAATGTCGACATAGTCTCCCAGGGCTGGTATCAACGTAGGCGGCAGGGTGGGCACAATATCGCCCTTGTTCTTGACATGAATCACGTTGAGTTTGGGCTGCTTGTTGAGCAGCTGGCTGAAAGCGTTGTTTCCGACCCTCGGACACGCGAACGTCACCGCGGTCACGGGGAAGTAGTCATTTTTGCCCTTTTTGGACAATCCTTGCAGCACTATGTCGAACGCGCTGAGCACAGCTAGCGTACCTCCCAAACTGTGTCCCACGCAGACTATGCTGAGCTCCTCGTCTTTGTACTGCCTGACGAGTTTCCTAAGGCTGACTATGAGCTGCGCGCGAGCGCTGAACTTGCTGAAGGGAGACATGGAGTTCCTCTCTGTGTAGACGTGGTACCAAGCTTCGGCAACCTTGTCAGATATTTCATATATAAATTCAAATTAAAACTCTATGCAATCAATTAAAACAGCAAAATATAAAATCGAAGGACAAATTTTTAAAAAGAACCGTTTTTTAACTTTAATATGCAAAATCGACCATTTCAAGAAAAAATTAGCAAAATCGACCCTTTTCATTGGAAAAGGATCGATTTCGCTGATAAGTCTTTTTTTGAGTGCACGGGACTGCTAGTCCCGTGCATCTCCTCACTCACCTGCATCAGTCTCTCTCTCTCATCACTCACCTCCCCCTCTCCTTCCCCATCCCCTGTCAGACCCTCCCAGAAGAGAGAGGATCTCGCGCTCGAACGCACCGGCCCCGGCACGCTCAGGCCCAGCCCAGCTCGATCGCCACCGCCTCCCGAGCTCCGGCGGCTCCTCCGCCACCTGGCACCACTTCCGCCTCTACTCCCAGCCGTCTGGTGGGTGGCCTAGGGGTCGCAATCGTGCCCGTGCTGTGGTGGTTTTATTGGGCGGTTGACTCGGGAAGGGGGGGTAGGGTCTGACTGGAGGATGGGGAGGAGAGAGGGGAGGTGAGTGATTGAAGAGAGAGTGTGTGATGCGGGGAAGGGGGGA